AATGCTTCTAATAAACTATTTTACTTCATCTAGTTGTCAAGAAAATGAGGTGATTATAATTCTCATCTAATTAGCTGAGACGGTGTACACTGTACATGTTATTTTACAGGATTATTAGTTACATGGATCTTACTTTAATTAATATAAACATCATAGTACAACAAATTTTAGTTAACTCTATACTGATTGGTATATTATTTTATTTTTACAGTTACTAATAACTTTTAAATGAAACTACCGTACAGCCGTACAGTACCGTACTTACAGCATCCGTGATCACAGGCAGACGAGATGTGAGTAAAGTAGCCGAAACGTCAGGAGTATGTAGTTTAGTGTCAAAAATAAAAAAAACGCGTAGTAAATCCGAAAATATTAGTTTCATTTAAATGGGTACTCGCGAAAATCTTGGATCTCATTATACTAATAACTTTTTATAAGAATTATGTCCGCCAGAATATTTTTTATTTTATTATTATAACAACTCCTATTTACAATTATTACAATCTTGGCCCTCTTAACTGCGCAGACGATAATTGTTTCATTGTTGCAAAGTTAATGCGCAACAGATTCTTTACGATATATACATACATAATACATATCTTATTTTTAGGTGAATTTCGCCACATTGCTGATTCAAAATTCTTAGTTTTTGTATTAATTATCTCAGACACTCTGATCGAATATGATAATAATGTCTTACTTCATGTTTTTAATATTGGTTAGTTTGTAGGGAAATACAATCTGTTAACAATCTTAATATTCCTACAACATAATATTGAAATCTGTGACTATAATAATTGTTTCATGTAGTTAAGAAAAATGCTAACTGAATACGAGACCGTGAAAGACAAAACCAATATATAATGTAGTCCTTATAACTCCCCTTTTGCTTATTTTATTGTTCATCTCTGATTTATTCTAGATTTTATGTACCCGTTGTAGTTCCCGGTTTCATTTGAAAGTAGTAGTTCTAAGAAAGTTACGTTTGTGATAAAATTAGTTAGATAGTGATAAAACACGAGAAAAACATTTTTCAATATGTAATCAAATAATTATTGTATTTTTCTTTACATATGATTTTTATTCTTATCTAAATTACTTTTATCCTTAAGACTCCGTATCTCAAAATGTTTATATAGGTCTAGTAATAAGTAAATGTAACTAATAATGTAATTACCATAAGAAAATAATCTTAAATTTGTAAAGACAGGTATATTATGTTAAATACTTCTTTAACATTGCAACAATTAGTTTTGTTATTATATTAATTTATGAGTTCCTAATAAATTGGCTTATAATGTATAATTTGAAATCTGAATTTTAAGTAAAAAAATATCTTCATTATTTCAGAAATATTTAAATATTAAATACTTTACGTCTGATTTTTCATTTGTACATTAATTTAAGAGTACATATAAAGAAAAAACTTACCTAAATTTTATATTTTTATGCCGAAATTTTAATACATATTAATTCACACTTTACACTACATACTCACAATGCGTCTAATATATTTACAATACACATTTTAAAGTAACTTGAAACTTTTTAACACTATATTTTTTATTGATAAAAAAATCCTAAACCTAACACAAACTTAAGTAAGACTTAACACAGATTTAAGACTTAAGTTGTCGTATAAACTTATGGACAGATGCGCGCAAAACTTTGTAGAACGAATATCTTTAGGGTCGTGGAGATCCGAGTGGACAAAACCAACTGCCGTTTACTGGGAACAAGGATTTCAGAGGTACTGCACGCATGCGCGTATAAAAAATATGTTCCTCATATATTACAACTATTAAGCTAGTTTCAAACAATTTCAATACAGTCTAATTATACATCCTCTTTATGTAATGTTTTTGAAAATTATTAACTTTAATAAACAAGTATATTGAACAAAGTGAATTTATTAATAACAAGTTTTCATTTGACTTTGAATGAGTGTTATTGTATATATAATTAAATACATAAAATATTTTGTAATGCATTCAAGCAAATTTAGACTTTATGCATTGTGTATGAAAATTAATGAATTTCAGTGACTTCATAAATTTAATTAAGCCCATTTTAGCTTGTTCTGCTTCTTATGCTTTTATAATTTTTACTTTTCTTGTGTCCTTAAGATTTTTATACGATTTTAATTGTTTAAGAATTATAAGAAAAGAAATAGAAATAGTAGAGGCAGTAATAAAAAACATGTATATATTTTCACATTCTTTTCCTGATTCTAAAAAACAGATGGCCGGGCTCTATATAATTCAGAAGAAGTTGACTGTTTTTTGTTTACTACAGAGTTGTTATCAATACAATTTTTAACAGATATAAATTATTCATTGATATTTTAATAAAATCATTTACGAACTCTTCACATCCACGATCCCTACATTGAAATCTTAGTTTGTATAAACTTTACTTCACATTTGCGTTAAATGTGTAAATAATACGCTGTAGATATGTTTTCAGATAAATTTGTTCTCCTGAGAGTGAGACTCTCCAAGCAATTATTCCATACATTACATACATTATTAATGTGTTGTTTTCGTATTTCTCCTATACTGGCTTTATAAGTAGTTTTTCATTTATAGAAATATACTTAAAAATTTGTAAACACACTGAGTATCAAAATACAGATCTGTGTTTAGGGCAAATTTACTTTTCATTTTTGTCAGCTCTGATTTTAATTTTTACAGATGCATGGCGCTGTTGTATATGTTCTTAATTTCATCTCAATGCCTTCAAGAATTGAAAAAAGGGCGTTAATAAACAATAAAAAGTTTGGTCGGAAATTTTGTGTCCGAACGATGTTTACGGTTTTAATTTGATATACGAAGCGTAACATGTAATCAAAACGAGTAAACATGTTTTTTCGTGATATTGGTTAACTGCTGCAAATATTTTTAAATGTATGTCTATGATTTTTCTGAGGAGTTTAGATATCTATAAATGATTCTTTAATCTCTCTTATATTACGTAAATATAAAGTATATTGCTGGAATACAACTTAAATATGTGCATTAGCATTTTCATATAATTTTTATTTTAAATGCTCGCAAACCATGTCGTCTGAAAGATCTCATTTCAAAAATCCATTGTCAAAGATTTGAATACAGATTCAAATATCCTCAGAAAATATCTACATATAATGACCATTGCCACTGCTCAAGGATTAAGAATCTTAATCTTTTTAAATCAGATGTGGACTTTACAACAAGCCTAAATGAAGACTCATTTTAAATGTTGTTCATTTAACACCCTGGATTCATATACATTCTCTACCGTATTTTTTAAATGACACTTCGGTATAAATTCATTTAATCCAGTATTAAATATCATAGTGGGAATTATGGTTGGGGATATGGATAATTATGATGTTATTATTACGTACTACATATCATATTACTGATATTATTAATGGAAATGTTTCTAGTTGTTTGTGACACATTTCTATTGTGTCGGTGACAAAATGGACAATATCCTCTATACTCTTATTTTAAGTGATATAACAATATAAATGATATTATATTTCAACCTGTATAGAATGCTAACAAACAGTATTATGTTCAATACAATTACATACATTCACTTAACTTCTTTGTATATCACATGAATGTTACAAAATAAACTTCTCTGTTGACTTCAAAATGTCATTGATACAGTTGTAGTTTACCGTTTTTCCCTTTTCGTTCTATATATGATTTTCATTTTATTTAAATTTTAATACAAGTATTGAACATTAACGTTGTTCGAATGCTAAAACTAAAATTATAACAATTTAACATCTTTAAAATGTTTTTATAGCTATAAAGTTTACAAGCATTAGTAAGAATTTTGTAAATTGTAACTCCGACTTCATATGATGGGTAAATATAGTATGCTTAGTTAAGCAATTTCTATTTTAGGAAACGATGTTTCGCCGAATTTAGTCAGCTTATTAGTCCATGGAGCTGGAATGCTATATTCGATAAATTGCAGTTTCGAGTCTTGTTCATGTTGATGTATTTCAAGTTTTATATTTTCTTTTTGAATTTTAATACTAGCTCAACTTATTAAAATCCTTAACATATATAAGTTGCTAATAACTTTGGCATATACTTCTCTTTTTTATATCGAAAACTTTTATACAAATATTCTTATTTATGTTAAATTATAATACATAAAGTATAAAGGACAATATACAGGGTGACTGTTGAATTACTACCAATATTTAAGGAGAATACTCGGTACATGATTCTCATTCGAATTATGTAAAAAAAATAGGCTCTTAATTTTTGACAAAATTTCCGTATAAATAAATAAAGTGTTGACACGTTCCAAGTGTTCCAAGTGTGGACGCGTGCGGCGGCGTGCTGATACAACACCACGCCGTCGCACTCGTATGTGGGAGTGTGTGTGTATACCTAATCTGTAGGGTGTTCACACGATACGTAATTAATTACATAACTTTTGGTTAACTTTACTTAGAAGTTTATTAATATTTTTGTTATATTAATGTTTATTTTGTCATATATGATCGTCAAATATCACGTCCTCAAGTATCGATAGTAATTCACCAGTCACCCTGTATATAAAAGAAGTTAAGTATATTATAAAAGGGATTTAACCATGACCATTACATATTTATGTAATTATTTTGATAACTACATAGTTTTAATATATACATATGCTGTTAGCTCTTAATGTGTATTGCCATAATTTGAATAAATATAACTTTGCCTGTCAAGGTTGTCATCACAAGAAGCAGTTTAATATGTTCTGCAATTTTATTTAAAATCCAGAAGCGTTACAAATTGTATTCACACGACATGATGTGTATATAATAAGATGAAAACGGAAAGAAATAATTATTCCTGTACCAAGCACTGGCTTGGTGAATTGTCTTCAAAATGATTTTTACTATAGAATTTCTACTGTTAATCTCGTTTTTCTATAAAAGTGAAACCTCAATCATCAGTAATTCTTACTTTCCAGCTTATCACTTAGCACCACCAAAAGGATGGATGAACGATCCCAATGGATTCTGCGTTTATAAATCTGAGTATCATTTATTCTATCAATATAATCCGAATAGTAGCTATGAACCTGGCATTGCTCATTGGGGACATGCAAAGAGCAGTGATTTATTTACGTGGGAAAACCTTCCCATAGCAATGTACCCAGATAAAAGCTACGATAGAACAGGTGTGTTCTCTGGAAGTGCTTTAGTAGAGGACGACATAATGTTTCTTTTTTATACAGGTAACGTAAACCTACCGGGAAGCACTCCCGATCATGAACAGCAGCAAGCTTTAGCAATATCCAAAGATGGAATAAATGTTACTAAATATCAGAGAAATCCTATTTTGAAAGGATTGGAACATCAACCAAATATACGGGATCCTAAGGTTTGGAAACATGAAAATTCATATTACATGGTACTGGGGAACTCATTTGTAAATGAACTTAACCAAACTCTTGGTCGTGCTTTACTTTATAAATCAGACAATAAAATAACATGGGAACAAGTGTCAGTTCTTCATGAATCGAACGGAGACCTGGGATATATGTTTGAGTGTCCTGATTTCTTTGAACTAGATGGAAAATATGTATTGCTATTTTCACCACAAGGAGTAAAAGCGGAGGGAGATGACTACAAAAACTTGTATCAAACTGGGTATATTGTAGGAGATTTTAATTACTCGACCTATGAATTTAAGCCACTAACACAATTCCGTGAACTAGATCATGGCCATGACTTTTATGCAACACAAACAATCTTAGATAAAAGTAATAGGAGAATAGTAATAGCCTGGAATGATATGTGGGAAACCAACTATCCCGAACAAAAAGAAGGTTTTACAGGCCAAATGACAATAGCTAGAATACTTTTGCTATCACAAAAGTTGACTTTAATTCAGAAGCCTGTAGATGAAGTTGCGAAAATCCTGGATGGACTTGTGTTTACGGGTAGAGGTATGGGAGGTCAGGGCCTCATATTGAAAGATAACATTGGCCTAATAAGTATAAGTGCCTCAGCAGAAAGAGACTTTGTATTGCATTTTGAGTCTGAGGATCAGTCTCGAGCATTAACAATAAAGTATGATTCTCAAAATCATACTGTTTCTCTAGACCGTGGTGGTGAAGATGGGCTTCGTCGAACAAGATGGTCACCAGTTAATGTCATGAATATGAATATATACGTTGATAGAAGTTCGATTGAATTGTTTTGTGGAGAAGGAGAAATAACTTTCTCTAGTAGATACTTTCCCGTTGGTCAATCCATATTACGCTTAGGAACTGGGAGCGTTGCAGATATTCTCACGTTGAGTAGTATAAAACCAACCGTGTACCTTAACTAAAATATATACTTATTATCTTCATATAACAATCATAATGTTAAGTTGTTCTTATCTACAGCATCGTAAAACGCTGAGAATAAATAGTATCGTCATTTAAAGTAAAGAAATAAATAATTGTTGTTTAAAATATTTGTTTTTATACTTATATATGTCACATTATTTCTTCTGGAAAACAATATTGTGACAAGTTGAACAACATTAATTACTTCTGGAAATGTTAATTTAATGACCACAATCCGTTCAGAAATTTTCGACCCATTTCTTACATTAATTAAAACCTTAATTAAGATGTCTTGAGGCAATTTTAGGTACGAAAAGTTTTCGTCCTGGTAGCCATACTGATACTTAAGTGAATATTAATATTGAACTGAATTTGGATTTGTAATACATATTTTAAAATCTCTGTAACTTTCCTAAAGTATATTTTTCTTTATTAATGAATAAATATAATGATATATTTTGTCTCTTCGCTTATTAGCCAGTGTGCAATTACGCTCTCAAATTATCTCATGAAGTATAGTGAATTCATTATATGTTATTCATTATTTCTATTTGGATTTTTTCACTGAAAAAATATATCCAGAATTATATTTAATAATGTATGTTTTAAATACATCAAACTAATATTCATAAAAATAATTGAATGCAATATCTACATTTATTATTTTTTAATTATACGAGTTCACAAATATGTACAATCGTATTTTTAATTCTTAATACTTATCTAGAAAACATTGTGTTTTAAATAAATATATACAATGAAGTATAATTTTTATTATAAAAAACATGTACTATAATTTTTAAAGATTTTATATGTTTTATATTTTTTCTTGCATGCTTAGCTAAGAGTTATAATAAAATACATCTTTGTACCCTGCATTTGTACTAACTTATTCAGTTTAAACTCAGTTATATTTTAATATATACAACCTTTAATTCACGATGATTTTTATTAAGTGTCGTTATGATTACTAGATAGGTCTTCAATTATAGCCACAATAGACACATAAGAACCAGATACTAAAGTTATGACACCAATGACGGCAATGATAAAATTTTTGATAGCAACATAATAGAATTTGCCCAAATTCCTCTCCCAATTGTAAACTGTATCGACAATAGCTGGCACCAATAATCCGAGGGTTGAAAAAAATAACGCTCCTACAAGACTAATCACTAGCTCTAAATTTGGAAAAGCTGCTGCGACGCAAACTGGAACAACAAAATTTATAGATATTATTTGTCACATCCAAGATGTATTTGTTAATTATGTACTAGTATATAAAGACGGCTCACCGCAGATGGATACCAAAACAGTCCTGATGCTTATTTGAACAATATTCGTATATTTTTCTGGCAATTTACTTAGCATAAGACGTTGAATTCCTTCCATAGGGACATAGAATTGTAGTGCAAAGGAAAAGAACATGACTAGAGCCATTAGTAATTTAGCTAATTGTGCAACCCTGGAATATTAAAGTTTTAATAATTTCGGTAACTTTTGAAATAAATTAATACATGAGACTATTTTAATTAAACTTTTTAATATCATAATAAAGTCTCTAAATTAATTTTGCCATCTCGATCTTGGTTACTGTCAGTAGTAACTTTTTTTTAAATATCATTCTTCTGAAGTGTGTAATTTATTCTATATATATTTTAATGATTTGTTATTTTTTTTACGACAAAAAAAAACATAAAGAAAATTGAAGTAATATTAAAAAAACTAAAACAAATGTAATTATTATAATCAATTTTGTTTGTAAAATAATGAGAGTATAATATTTACCATTGATCTTGAGGAAGATTAAGAGTTATGCTTCCTTTAACAGCATCTCCATATTTAATGTATCCGAAAAATCCAAAAATACAATACATAGAAATCACGATCACCATAGATATGTTTAATACTCCAGGACAGCCGAGAAATCTCTTTGGGTTAGCCATTTCATTCTCAACAGGCATTACCACTCCAATACCTTCCATAGCAAATATTACTGTGCTGAGGAAGAAATCATTATTTTTATTATTAAATAATAAATTAATTATGGTTATTAACATTTCTTTTTTGAATAATTAAACCATATTAAGTGATACATTTTCAGCAAGGGTGCTATAACAGTGGTGAGAACTTAGACTATTTTTGTTCTCTTAAATCTCTGTAACGGATAAAAATAACCGGACATTATACCGCACAGGAATTAGCAAATTTTGAGAAAGAATGTTTAAAGTAGGTTTAAATCTAGGATAAAAACTAAAGCCAGTAGCGAATTTTTATATAAATCACACGTGGTTACTCAATATGGAACAAATATTCACTAATGCATTTAAAATTTATTACGACGAAATGTTTGCGTGTCAATGATTTACTGAAGATATATGAACTTGTAAAACTTAATGTGAAACATGAAATTTATATTCAATCCTTTGCTTTTAAACAAATAATGATTGCATTTTTGTTTTAAAGAATGATATTAAGCATATATGTAAATTGACCTCTCGAATGCTTCAAACGTATTTTTTAAAACTGTTAACAATATATTAAGTGTTCTTTTAATAAATAAAACGATTTCATTGACTCCATTCTTCTAAATTTATTATTCATTTATGACTAAGATTTTTCGTAAACGCCCGAGGAATAAATTAATAATTAATATGACCTTATTTTTTTATAAATCAAAGAATTAAGTACAGCTTCTAAATATCTTTTATTAATTTTCGTATACATATATGTAAACAACATACCTCAGAAACAGCGGCCATGTTGATATACTAGCTACAACTTCCCTCTCACTGATTGGAGGCAAATCCACGAACATATAATATAATGTGACGCCAAAAACCATAGCAATCATTATATTTGCAAGTGCTGAAAATGGCACCAAGTACTTCAGGTTCCTTATTTGACAAATTAGCACTAGCGGAACTAGTGTCAACATACAATACACTTGAACTGAGAAGTTATCTTCTGGGTAGTATACATCCAAAACCTTAAATAAATAATGTTTTTTAAACGCGAATAAAACAATGTTTGTTAAAATATATAACACAAGAAGGTAATAATGAGTGGGTAGGTGTGGCAGGATTTAATTAATATGAGGCAGAAAAATATTGTTAAAAAATAATTTAATCCTTTTCTATTTTTAAAAAAATATGTATTTTAATAATACTTTAACCGAGTCACGGATGTTAATTAATAGAATAACTTTAATCCCATACTAATAAAAATTTGGGTAAGGGAACTGACACCCTTTCTGTAACGAAATTAATTCTTAATTACAACTTTTAAAATATAGAGTAATTCATTTCAGACAGAAATTAAAGCCGTGGACTGTAATTGAATTTTTTCATTTCATTAAATATAAACCAACCAAACAAATCAAAATGTTAATTTATATTTTTCAACCGACTTAAAAAAAGGATCCGGTCATCAATTCTTCTATATTTTTTCTCAAATAATATGGAACTGATTTAAGATATTCTTATTGTATCTGAAAGATTGCATTCTCCAAGTGGTCTTATGGTCATGAACTCAAGTTGTTATAATGATATATTCTAAAAATTTAGGATTATCAATAAAATAGAGGGCAATCAATTCTTTTGATATAAATGCGCATTCGAGAAAATCCTTATTCGTGATTTTCGGATAATTATTAAAGAAGTTGTGCTTTTCTGTGACCTTTATTATGCCTAAGATGTACATTTTTGTCAATTTCACACTCCGAAACTCGACTTTTACTTTTTATTTCGTCATACAAGGTGCACGAAAGGAAGATATCCTTATCTTGAAACAACTACACAAATCTAGGTTCCTATTTTATTATAAGGCTAAAACGCAAGATATAAACATATTTATAAGTAAAAAAATACGACTTCTAAATAAAAACATAGGAACCAGGAACTGTTAAAAAAATGTGACACGTAGCTACTATGTCCTAACTAAAACTCTTTAATAATATATCGGCTCAAAAAATGACTAAACCTTTCATGTTTTTTATTTATTTTTATTTATTTTCCAATAACCTCATTTAATACCTAACCAAATATATAAAATTTCTTAATCTACAATCATCCTTTGAAGTCGGTGCCTTCTATTCAGTTTAAGTAACTTAACACTAAAATATGATAGTAGAATTCTTAATTAAAACATCCTAAAAGTAACCTACACTTTTTTTATATTACTCGATAAAATTAATAAACAACAAGTAATCGGTAAGAAACTAAAACTAAATTTCTTTTATTTGCACTAGTAAGACTACAAGATATATGATCAAATATTACTTCGCAAAATGATAACGTACATGTAGGTACGTCAGGGATTTTTTATTCATTAATTAAATTAACCTGTATAAAAGAGTTGTATCTTATAATTACCTCTTTAATTGAAACTCCAATAAACACAGCATATACAATCAGGACACTCAAGTACGTTATCAAAAGCGAATAATCAATGAATTGCCTGGAAAAAAAATATATTAAAATCAAGAAAACACTACATAATTATTATAAAATTTAACCTATTTTTGGTCTTGTATTATTTTCATGCTATAAATACTAAAACATTAACAAAGCTGTTATTATTAATTCCTTTTAAATAATCATTATTAGATATTAAGAATCCCTAGGGTCTTCCTTGTTAAGATTTATAAATATTAATTAATATTTATGTAAACTTGGAAGGAATTATTATTATTTTAATTTGTAAAATTGTGAATATTTTACTTTGCAAATCCACTGAAACGTCGCATCCTTTTTGGTCCGTATTTAAAAGCAGCGCCTACCGTTTCAGAAAAACTCATACAAGGCTTCCTAGCATCAACGCAAGCCTCTTGAGAAGTTTTTACCTTTAAAAATATAATTAATTAATTTTCTGTTAAAAAAACATTCCCACATGTTCACAGTAATAAAATATAAAGCTGTGATTTCCATTCATTATAATAATATGACAAAATTCATAGAAATATTAAAATACTATTCTTAAAACTGGAGTATTACTTAATACATAGTTCATGTATTACTCGTTGCAATTTTATTCGATCAGGCACTAATGTTCGTGAGGCTTTTAATAATTATATTCTTTACTTATTGCTCATTAGGATTTCTATAGTAACAAAATAGGTTTCACTGTTTGTTTAGACATAGCTAATAAAAGTTAGTGTTGTTTATAGAGACACTACAATATGCCATACCAGTATATGGACTGCATGAGTACAAATAAATCCTGCCAATAAAGTTCCTACAATACCGGCCGCAGTGCCCGCATTTTTGAAAGCAGCTGGCATTGCTAGAATACCAGATCCCAGGCATGCTTTGAGAAGATGAACGATCGATCCAAAAGTTCTGAAACCAATTTACCATATAGTGTTCTTCTAAAGACAGAAAAAATTTATTAATTTTAATTCTCTTTCATCATCACAAATACATACTATTAATGATACATACTCATAAACAAGTATCAAAAATGTCCAGATAATCTCTTATATTGAGATAAATTTCTCTAAAACAAATCCTCCTATCAATCTTAGAGAAACATTTCATGTTAAAAATACAGTATTCGCCATTATTACTTTTTTTGCAACATTAATTTGGAACAATTTGATTTATTTACTTTAATCGAAGCACTCAATACATATTGATTTACTAAATTTATAATTGAGAATAATCTTTTAAATTATATTGTACATTTTTAACGTTATAATATACATCAATTTCGTAATCGTGTCATTAAAATTGGTGCATATTTTTTTTATCCTGTTTCAAGAATTTTCTATGACGTTATTGGAGATGGAAAATGAAAGCAAGTTACAAAACCAAAATAGTTCCTATCATATCAATCCAGATTTATCTCCTGAACAACACCGAATCCGTACTACACTTGAGATATTTTATTATCTTATTAACATTGACACTTTTCTTTCGATTTTTTATCGTTTTAAGGGGTATTGATAAAATATGTTTATTGCATTTACAAACTAAATAGATAAGATTATACTTACGAATTAGGGTGAGCTATGTCTCGATGTTCGAACGGGTTATATTGCTTTTCATTGTTAGCTCCGTCTTTTGGGTCTAAACTTATTGAGGACACAAAACCGGCGTTTTTGGTTAAATTCGCTCTGAAATAATTACAAGTATGACATTATTACAACATTTTTCTATCAATAAAAAAGTTATATACAAAACTGCTAAATCTGTGATATACATATTTAGCATATAATTAAAATGCACTAACACTTCTTTTAATAAAATTTATTTTATACTTTAATAAACAAAGTACTTAAAGTTGTTGAAAACATTTAATAACAGTATATATTAAATTTTAATAAATGACAAAACAAGAAAGGAAAATTAATTATTAAAAACTCCTTGAAGCCTGTAGAAAGGTATTCTGCAAAATTTAAAATCATAAACCAGTTAATAAAATATTATTTTATATTTTCTTCAATTACTGTATCGGTACGATATAGAAAAAATACAATTACTTATTTCAAAAAAAAAACAAGTAAATATAAATTTATTGTCTTTTGTTTCTGAAACCAATCAACAAATACTTTTGTTGTAGTAATTATATGTATGGAGTTTCTGTCCCTTGAACGAACTAACTAATAATTGAATATATGTTTCTAGACCCGAAATAACAACAAGAAATCAAATTACTTAGCTCTAAAAACATTTTATATACCACATCAAAGTAATTATCCCAACAACTAGATCAACCGTGACATCGGTGGTTATAAGATACTCCTATTTACTAAACTTTGTTGAAAACATGTTACGGATCACTGAATGTATTAATAAAAAGCCACAAGGACAGCTCACAAGTATCCATTAACAAAGCAACTTGTGTTAATTCTTAATTTCATTATCATCATCAGCCTATCAGAGCCCACAGCTGAGCAAAGACTTTCCTTCACCGTCTGTCAGTGGTGTCTAAATACTCTTAGAAAGTACATATGACTCGGAAAAATCACATAGGTACTTGCCAGGTTTTGAACCCGGTCACTAGGAAAACAGAACTAATTCTTTATTTAATTCAGTTTCATTTAGTACCATAGCAATTAATCACAAAAAAAGTGAAAAACTAAAGCTTAAAACAGTTCAAAGAAGATATACATAACGTAACTCTTATAAGTGCGTGGTTAGAAATATTCGCTACAATCGTCTTTGGAATAAGAGCGCTACCGTAATAGTATTTATTCTTAATGGTTTATTATTATTTTATGAAATTTACTTCCTTCTTGATTGTATAAAATTGAATTTTCTTTGCTCTTTAAAATTAATATGCATTTTGCGAGCCAAATTAAATGTATATATATTTTATATATCGGCGCAAACTACAAGTCATCGTTCGATTACGTCATCCTTTATTGAACACGCGTTCCAACTCGACGTCGTTCCCCTCCTATTGTCGAACAATAAAAGGCGGGTTTGCAGCGAGAGCGCATTCATTCGTTTGTCAGCACTCGAACTAGACTAATCTCTGTTGATATTTTGTTGATTCTGTGTGCGAATTTACTTAACTAGTTATTTAATTGTGTAATAAATCAGTGTGTGAAGTGACTGTAATATATCAGTGTATAAAGTGTGTCAAGTGACGTAATATATCAGTGTGTAAAGTGTGTCAAGTGTTAAAGTGAATAAATAATAATGAATCCACAAGATGGTATTATTGAAGAAAGCACCCCTCCTCTTACATCAGAAGTGGGATGAACCAACGCCATCAACCGGTTCCAGGAAATGGTGCTACCATGGCACTATTGGCTAATACATTCAAGGATACTATGTGTGAAATGATGGTACAGATGTCTCAAGAAAATCGCGCTGTACTTGCTGAAATGTTGAAAGCCCTTAAGCCTGAGGAAACTAGATCAATCCGCATTTCCGACGTCTATTTTCCAAGTTTTGATCCTGACAAAGGTACCGACGTGAGGGAATGGGTTGATTTGATAACCAGAACTCAAGCGGAGTACAATCTAAAGGACCACGAAGTACGCCTAAAAGCTGCTGGTGTCTTAAAAGGAAGAGCACAATCTTGGGCCGATGATTGTCTACTGCGGACGACCACATGGTCTGAAATGAGGGAAGACATGCTACAAACATTTGAGCCAGAATCAAGATATTTTTCAGATGTTTTGAAATTCCGACGTTACTCCATAAATGATGCTGATAGCATCCCCGAATACATATCCAATGTATGGAAAATGTTCAAAAAAATCGTGAAGCCAAATCCTACGGAACAGGATGCTGTAGAATTTGTGATTGGAAGCATCAAAGAAGACGACCTTCGAACAGAACTTCTTAATGCTAAATGTTTATCTGTTCCAGAGCTTATTGCCATCGCTAAGACGATGCGCAAACGTAAACTGCCATCAACTCACGACCGCTTTCAAAACAAGAAAGTAAAAAGCGACGACAGCAGATCAGATCAAAGTATAACTTGTTTCGTATGTGGCAAACAAGGCCATCGAGCAAGATGGTGTAATCAAAATGCGATAGCACGCACCCGTACTGAACAACACCATCAGTCGATTCCATCAACGTCAGATGCAAACAAGAACAGAGAGAAAAGGAGTAAGGAATGCACTTACTGCTCTATTCCTGGACACACTTATGAAACTTGTTTTAAGCGACTCAACGCTGAAAAGAACATCAATTTCTGCCAAGTCCAAAACAATGACATGAAAAATGGTGTTGTGGTTAAAATTGGAAATAAACATTTTCAAGCAATGTTTGATAGCGGAGCGGACTGTTCACTTGTAAGGGAATCAACAGCTCTTTCACTTCCTGGTTCAAGAACAAACAAAACAACATACCTGAAGGGTATCGGACCAGTCCCCGCTATATCCTTTAGTCAAGTAACATCCGTCTGTTACATAAATGATATGCATCTGGAACTCGACTTTCATATTGTCCTAGACCACGAGCTACCCGCGGATATTCTCATTGGAAGAGACATTTTGAAGATACCGGGGCTGAAAGTTACAATGTCACATAGTGGCGTTACAATGACGAGAGACGAACAACACAAAACAGCCGCTAATATATGGCAGTTATCTTCGAGTTCGATAGATACAGATTTGAAGAATAAAGATGAAATAGACAGATTGATGACTGTGCTTAGAAAATATGAAGATTATTTTAGAGAGGGTGTATCTGGATCTAGAATCACAACAGGAGAATTGACTATCCGACTGAAAAACCCTGATAAAGTAGTTAACCGGCGGCCATACAGATTGGCGCCTGTCGAACGAGAAAAGGTGAAGACTATGATTAAGGAGCTTCGAGATAAAAATATTATTAGGGAAAGCAACTCGCCTTTTGCAAGCCCTATAATAATGGTGAAAAAGAAGAACGGAGAAGACAGATTATGTGTGGACTACAGAGAACTAAATGCAAACACTGTGCGAGATCACTACCCATTACCACTAATCTCGGAACAACTAGATCAACTCGCCGATGCGAAATATTTTACTTGTCTCGATATGGCCGCGGGGTTCCATCAGGTGCCAATATCAGCAACATCAATAGAGAAAACGGCATTCGTCACTCCCGACGGTCAGTATGAATATCTCACGATGCCATTTGGCCTAACGAATGCTCCATCAGTCTATCAAAGGGCTATAAACAAGGCATTGGGAGATCTTCGAGGCAAAATAGCTCTCGTTTATATGGACGATGTTCTTATACCAAGTAAAACGACTGATGAGGGAATTACCAATTTGGAACAAGTTCTAGAAGCAGTCACGAAATGTGGATTTTCCATTAATATCAAGAAGTGCTCATTTCTGAAAGTTTCGGTTGAATACCTCGGATTTATAGTAAGTGATGGTAAAGTGAGGCCCAGCACTTCCAAGGTTGAAGCATTGGCAAGATCCCCGCCTCCGACAAATGTAAAGCAGTTGAGACAGTTTAACGGTTTGGCGGGATATTTTCGAAGATTTATATGTAACTTCTCAACTGTAATGATACCCTTGTACAATTTGACAAAAAACGGGTGTCAAATGGGAGTGGACAGAAGAACATGAAGCCATACGAGCAAGAATAATTAATTACCTAACATCAGCACCGCTACTGACAATATTCCAGGAAAACTATCCTATCGAGCTACACACAGACGCCAGTGCCATGGGATTTGGAGCTGTGTTGATTCAAGTGAAAGGTGGAATACGCCATGTCATTGGATATTTTAGCATGAAAACCACTGCAGCCGAATCCAAGTACCACAGCTACGAGCTTGAAACACTGGCAATAGTAAGAGCAATAAAGCACTTTCGTCACTTTTTATATGGGCGCAAATTTACGGTCATAACGGACTGCAATGCAGTGAAGGCATCCCGCTATAAACAAGAATTGCTGCCTAGAATACACAGATGGTGGGCGTTCCTACAAAATTTTGAATTTGAAGTTGAATACCGAAAGGGAGAAAAAAACTAAAGCATGCAGATTTCTTTAGCAGAAACCCACTTCAGGTTGTAATGAACTTATCCACCAAAGATGACTGGCTAATTGTCGAACAACGTCGTGATACCGAATTGAGTAAAATCATTAAAGATGTCCACGCTAATAATGAGTTGCATCCAGACTATGAACTCAGGGATAATATTTTACACTACAAAACAAAAACCGACGATAAGTTAAAACTCGCTAAAGTCGTCCCTCAATCCTACCAGTGGAGTCTCATAAATACTTATCACGAAGCACTGAAGCATATGGGATGGGAGAAGACATTGGCAAAAACTCAGGGAGAATTTCTGGTTTCCCAAAATGTCGTCAATTGTCAGATACTTCGTAGAGCACTGTGTTATATGCAAGACAATGAAAGGGTCATCTGGAGCTACACAAAGTCGCCTACACACAATAGAGAAGATACCAGAACCCTTTCATACCATCCATATCGACATTTCTGGAAAACTCAGTGGAAATGCTTCTCAAAAGGAATATGTTTTCGTGGCTATCGATGCCTATACAAAGTTTGTAATATTACAACACGCCAAAAACAAGACCCAGGCAAGTGCATTAAAACATCTAACGGAAATAGTTTTCCTTTTTGGAGCCCCAAAGCGCATTATTGTCGATGGTGATGGCGCATTTATATCCCATTATAAAGATTACTGTGAACAATTTGGGATCGAGCTACATCAATGTGCTGGATACACAAGTAGAGCCAATGGTCAAGTGGAAAGGATTATGAGAATAATAAAGAATGGTTTAACAGTAATCAACAATACTCACAAAAGTCATTGGACGAAATCTCTTGGAGCTCTGCAATTGGCTATTAATTCAACTTTTTCTAGAACAACAGGTCACACACCTATTGAATTGCTAACTGGAAAAAGAGGTTGTGTTCCTCCTGAACTGCTCAACCTGATTGATGAACGCAATGAGCGTATAGACCCGGAGATGTTGAAAAAATCTGTGTTAGCAAGGATGACCGAACAAGCTACGAAAGATGAAGCTCGGTATAACAGAGGTAAAGCCAAAGTGAACAGATTCGAGAAGGGCGAATACGTCTTGTTAAAAGAACCGCCACGTCTGGGTACCAAATTAAGCCCAAAATATGATGGACCTTTCGAAGTAAGAAAAGTTTTACCTCATGATAGGTATGAGATTCGAAAAATCAATGGTCGTGGTCGGGCAAGAAAAGTATGCCATGAACAACTAAGAAGCGCTCCTAAATTCGGAGTACAAAATGACGTGGCCATATCGGCGATTAATAAAGACGTCGAAGCAAGTTCATCCAAAGATGAGTAGCAATGGTTGTAGCTGTAAACGAGCAATGAGGTAATATCTTAAAGTAATTTATGAGATTAACCAAAATTAGCGCTGAGGCTATGAGGTTGACGTGCTTTGATAGCAACCAAAATTAGCGATGAGGCTATGAGGTTGACGTGCTTTGATAGCAACCAAAATTAGCGATGAGGCTATGAGGTTAACGTGCTTTGATAACAACCAAAATTAGCGATGAGGCTATGAGGTTGACGTGCTTTGATAGCAACCAAAATTAGCGATGAGGCTATGAGGTTGACGTGCTTTGATAACAACCAAAATTAGCGACGAGGCTATGAGGTTGACGTGCTTTGATAACAACCAAAATTAGCGACGAGGCTATGAGGTTGACTTGTTTTTACGTGAATTAATACTTGTTAATTTTCCAGGTCCTTTCATGATGTAGACGCAGGGACGCGCCCATCATCAGAATGGCCGTATCGGCGCAAACTACAAGTCATCGTTCGATTACGTCATCCTTTATTGAACACGCGTTCCAACTCGACGTCGTTCCCCTCCTATTGTCGAACAATAAAAGGCGGGTTTGCAGCGAGAGCGCATTCATTCGTTTGTCAGCACTCGAACTAGACTAATCTCTGTTGATATTTTGTTGATTCTGTGTGCGAATTTACTTAACTAGTTATTTAATTGTGTAATAAATCAGTGTGTGAAGTGACTGTAATATATCAGTGTATAAAGTGTGTCAAGTGACGTAATATATCAGTGTGTAAAGTGTGTCAAGTGTTAAAGTGAATAAATAATAATGAATCCACAAGATGGTATTATTGAAGAAAGCACCCCTCCTCTTACATATATGTATGTGTTTGTATGAAATTTTATACTTTTTTATTTATTATTTTATACCTGAACCTCAATTTTGATGATATTAAACTCGAATATTTCTGTTAAATAAATTTGATTAAGTAAATATTATTATAATTAAGAATATCACTAATTTAATTACATTTTAGACGAAAGGTTTAGTTATAATTTTGTAATATGTAATATATTTTGTATTTATATTTTATATATAAAATTCTCGTGTCGCGGTGCAAAACAGAGAACTCCTCTGAAACAGCTGGACCGATTTTGATGAAATTTTGTGACCATTATGAGTAGGTCTGAGAATCGGCCAACATCAATTTATTATAACCCTAAGTCATATGCGGTGTTCAGTTGTTCATCCTTAATTTATTTTTTTAGGACGAAATTTTTTGTTTTTATTTTTTTATAATGTAGCATTAAAAATACATACAACCCAAAATTTATACTTTTTTATCACCGACCCCTTGTTTTTTATATGGCAAAACAACTTTTGCATGTTTAGCTAGTTAACAATAAAATATCAATTAGAATTATACACTTTTTATGAAATCATGTTAAATATTGTTTAACTTGAATTTTATTTCACAACTATAAGTTCCTTTTCCTGCCAGACTAGATTTCATCACGTTAGTCTATTTAGAAACAAATATATCAAAGGTACAGTTGTCCTAAAGGATTAAAACTGTCTCACAAATCTCATATTGGATAGTTGAAGCTCCTAAAACCCTTTGTCATATCGATTTACACCGAAAAGCCAAACATAGATCCTGTTAGAAATATTTACCAATTTGCGACGCTAACAAAAAAAAACGGATAAATCACAATAAAAAAATTCAAATACATCTATTGGAGACAATATAAAATCAATATTTTTGAGAACAAACACTTCAAAGGGTTATCAAAACAGAAAATTGATACTGTTGTACCTACAAAGACACAAACACTCTAAATCTTTACAACCTTGAATTATAAAACCGTTTAAATGATAATTACGAACCATAATGAAATAGGTTATGTAAATGTGTGTGAAAGAGATCCTATATAAATAAATTTACCCTGAATTCAACATGTGTGGTTAAATGGATTGCTAAAATAATTTGCATATAAATTTCTTTCTTTAAAATAATTTAAAATCCCTACTAATATTATAAATGCGAAAGTAACTCTGTCTGTCTGTCTGTCTGTCTGTCTGTCTGCTACGCTTTCACGCCTAAACCACTGAACTGATTTTAATGAAATTCGGTACAGAGATAGAGTTGACCTTGAGAAAGAACATAGGATAGTTTTTATCCCAGACTTTTGAAAGGTTCTCTTGGAAACGCGATATAACCGAACTCCACGCGGCGAAGCTGCGGGCGGAAAGCTAGTCCAATAAATAAAAACAACGTTAAAAACTAATATTTCTAGGTCCTTGCAAACAAATGCATTTTTATAAGGAAAACTCGTTTCTGAAGGAAATGAGATTGACCCCGTCTTTGAACGAATTGTAATTGTTTTTATTTTTATGAAATATAATTCTGAGTTATTGAAGGCTTTATTGGTACACTATTTTCCTGCCTCTATGTAAGTTATGATTTCAAAATAATAAAACCTAATTTTAACCATTAAAAAATTTAATGGTTCCCGTTATTGAAACATGTATAATTTGTTAAAAATGAGGATTAATACAGGGTGACTGGTGAATTACTATCGATATTTGAGGACGTGATATTTGACGATCATATATGACAAAATAAAAATTAATATAACATAAATATTAATAAACTTCTAAGTAAAGTTAACCAAAAGTTATGTAATTAATTACGCATCGTGTGAACACCCTACAGATTAGGTATACACTGACACTCACACATACGCATGTCGTGACGTGGTGTTGTATCAACACGTCGCCGCACGCGTCCACACTTGAAGACTTGGAACGTGTCAACACTTTACTTATTTATACGGAAATTTTGTCAAAAATTAAGTGCCTATTTTTTTTACATAATTCGAATGAGAATCATGTACCGAGTATGCTCCTTAAATATTGATAGTAATTCACCAGTCACCCTGTATATTGGAAATGAATTACATATAAGAATTTACTGTATTAAAAATAATTATGGAAATTAATTTTGTCAATTAAAATACTAAATATTGGTCAAGTAAAAAATTATTTACATACTAAAAAATAAATCGAATAAAACTATATGACTATTACAAAAAGACTATCAAATAAAAATTGTAAGTACCTACTTATACCCCAATTTCAGTTTGGTTCAAACCAAACCTCAAGCTTTAAAGGAAATCTTGAAATAGTATTATTTTCCTAATACAGCCGAATTGAAATTGTTTGAGTGCTATACAAATTTTTATCACTTATTGGTCTTAAGATATTCTTTTCCGAATAATACGTTTTTAATACGTCATATGTAATGCATCAGACGACAAAACATTATATTGCTTATTGTTACCCATTAGAGCTATGGTCGTATTAAGCTTACCTTGTATGGTATCAGATCATTAGTACAGAATTCAAATGTATACAATGGATATGTATTCAAACTCTTAATACGTCTCAAATTGAAATCATATAATGCTGAAAGCATTTATTTAATCTGGCATATTACTAATTTAAAAATGTTACGATCCACTTATGTTTCTGATACCTTGCACTACTTATATATGAAAATTTCTAATAGAAACCAAATTGAAATATATACTCACGTTGAATTAAAATTATCAATATGTTCTTCTTTTCCCATACTTATGCTAAATCTGAAACAATATTATATCATTTAGTAATAAGGCAAAAACATTTTCAAGATAATATATGTATATCTTTGTGAAAATTATATTCAATAAAATTACAATTATACCATTTACATAATATAAAACAAATAATACTTTTATTAAAAGCAAGAGAAAAATATTTAATAAAATGTTTTTGTTCTATTCATGACACCTCATTATTGTAACTCTTTTTTTTTACTGAGACACTTAATATTAATTTTTCAAAAGAAAGAAACATATGTTTTATACAAATATTAAACAGTATGTTTGTTCAATTAGTTATAAGCTGGATTTTCTTTTACAATTTATATTAATAAATTAATAAGTCGAATTATTACTAATATATGTACATAATAACAATATTAAACTGTTATTAAGCATAATATTTAGTATGTTAACAAAGGATTCTTTACATCGACGTCTCGTATAATGCTCGTAGTATTATATTTTAGATACAGTTCTCCAGACTTAAACAAGCATATTAAAGTTTAAGTAATTTGGTCTTACACAAAAAAATCACATGGATTTGTATTATTATTTAGTAGAAGGCTTCAACTAAAATCTCGTTATCTAATTGCTAAATAAGTGCAAAAAGTAAAAATTAGTCTTTTTTGAAATTAAATGAAATGATTTAAATATTTTTTTAATACCCAATCGGAGCTATAAAATAATCAAATTATTTCAAGACCACGAGATAAATCTGTTCATCACTGAATTGATACTATCTAATCTCTAAATAAACACCATTCGAGACTGACAATCTAAAATGTAGTTTTGTTTACGTATACTCATCGTGAATATCGTTGATGTCTGCATATCACTTTTAGTTTTTGCTTAAAAAAACACCTGTTGGCAAAAAGACCTACGACTTGATCACTATGATAACTTATTTGATAGTAAAATAAAAATAATTCTTTTATTTACTAGGATTGCATTGTGAAAGTAGGATAAATATTAATAATCTTTATTAATAAATAGATTTGAAATGTCCCATTCTTATAATAAAAAAGCGGTTTTTTCTTTGTCCATCCAATTATCCAGTTTTATTTCTTAAATCTTATTTATTTTCATGTTTAAAGATAAAATATTACTACTCCGCTTGGATGAAATCGCGAATATACCTAGTATAAAGTGTACCTAATCCTGAAAAAGTTTAACATGAAAAGAATATTGTGAAAGAAGCTCTTTCGCTAATCTTTATATAAGTATTATAAGTACAAATAACATTAAAGTTTAAACAGAAACCTATCGCTTTAATGTGAAATAATTATTTATTCTTATTGCAGTAGCAAAACTTAATTATGGTTCTCTTTATAAAATACAAAATGATGTGTACCTATTATGAAACTTACATTTTAAATGACAATTGGCTTTTTTTATAAAGGAGA